CTTTTTAAATTTAACTTTTATTTTTCTGAACATAATACAGGAAGTGAAATGATACCAAAATGTGGATAGTGAGCAACAGCAATCACCCCTCCCTTCCTCACCCTCCTCCGGCTCAGAGGCAGCCACTGCCACATTTTCATTTCTCCCCGGGAATCAGCTCCCCATTTTTAAACAATATGCTTATACTGTTGCTTCATGATTTTGTGATTTTAGAAATTATTTATTGATTTTCCTACTATGGAGTATTAGGATTTTGCCTTCTTACAAAACACATTCTCTTCCGTCTCAATTCCTAACGTTTTTATATCACAATTTCTCATTAAATCAAGAATCAGTGTTTGCATTATAATGACTGACTGTCGACAATTGAGCAATGTAGTGATGGCATTTTTCTTCTATACCTCCCCCCCACTCCCACCCCAGGGTTAATAATTACCTCATTTTTGTTTGTTTGCTTACTTAGTTGTCCATGTTCTTCAAACCTTGACAAGAGCTATAAAACTCCAATAAATAGGCCAAATGACCTGGATAACCTATCAGTTCCTTTATTTTCTTGCAGACCCCCGTCCTGGGGCCCTCAGCCCTCCTTTTCCACTCTGGACCAGGAGCTCTACGGCCTGTTATCTAGGGGTGCCCCTTTGCCATCCATCAATGAACTCCTATTTTTCTGTCTCAGTTTACTTCCTCACAAATAAGTTTTTTGAGACTTCGTATGCAGGGGTGATATTAACATTTTTAACAGCTTTACATGGGCAGCAACCAACCAGACCCTGGCCCCGTAAAAGCAGTGTGGCCGCCCTGGTGAGCTCTGCTGCTGGGCCTTATTTCCCGCTCCTTGGCTGGTGCTTTGGCTGGGTGAAGATTTCCAGACTGGAGGTTATTTTCTCCAACTGGATGACATCGCTGTTTTGCCTTTCGGCTTCTAGCTTCCAGGGTTCCTACTGAGAAGTGCGATCGCTGTTCGGATTCCCAGTTCTTGGTTTGAGAACTGCTTTTTCTCTTTAGAACTTTCGGAATCCTTTTCTTCCTGGGCTGCTAGCATTTCCAGTGGAGTCCTTTGGGGAGAGTCTTTTCAGTTCATTGCGTCGTTGTGTTGGGCACCCACTGGGTTCTTTCAATATGGAAATTAAAATTTTTCAGTATGGAAGATTTTTGAGGCATTATTATTATTTGGCTAATTTATTGCCCTCTGTTTCCTCTGTGCTCTCTTTATGGAATTCTCATTAGAAGATGTCAGAGCTCCTGGATGGATCCTTTACGTTTCTTATCTTTTTGCCTTATTTTTTCTCTCTTTCCCTTTTTGTCCTACTTTCTGGGAGATTGTCTCAATTTTACCTTCCAGTGCTTCAATTTAATTTTTAAATTTCCAGCGGTTCTTTAGTCTGTTGTCTCTTCCTTGTTCTTTTATATATATATATATATAATCAGGATATATATATATATTTAAATTGGCATCCTGATCTCAATTCATGGAGGTACTATCTTCCCTAATCTCTGGGGGTAGGGGTAGAGGGGTGGGTGTTGATGTTGCTGTGGTCGCTGTTGCTAATGATTGTTTCTGCTCTCTGGATGACCTCTGTTTCTGTGTCAGAGGCCTTCATCCCATGTCTGGTGACCATCCACATCCACTTCTTGGCTGTTAGAAGCTTTGTGTGTGAGGAAAGGGCTTGTCAATTATTGGGCTCTACTATGGGATAATCTACAGGGTGCCTGGCAGCTTCACTGGGGGACCCCAAATGCCAGTGTCTATAGTCTCTTTCTCTTCGGTTGGGTAGTTTCTCTAGGGAGGAACCCTTAAATCATCTGCTCGGTGATAAAGGTGGGGTAGGGTGGGTGGAGAGGGTCCTAAGTTGGTATTTTGCGTGCTGGGAGATGAGTCGGAAAAAGGGACTGGGGAATCTCCTATTCTGGTATGGAGTCTTCTAATCCCTCCATTTCTAGCCCTGTGCCTAAGCCCACCCTCTGCTCTGCTGGATGTCCCTGAGCCTGGTGCCTGTTTAATCTGTTTCTCCAGAAGCTAAACTTCCCTTCTCTAGCTGGAGTAGCTGTGGAGGGCAAGGGAGGGATCTGGAATGCCTCCTCCTGTTTTCAGCCCCATTTCTCCCCGAGTTCCTGATGCCCTGATCCCTGCAACTCTCCTGGGCCCTGTGGCTTCTTGTTGGCGTCTCATCATGGGCCCTTGGGTTTATCACTCATCCATCCAGTTTCCATCTATGAAAAGGGTGTTGACTTCTCTCATCTGCTGCTGTCTCCTGTCCTGTTCTCTTTCTCCTTGTGGTTTAGAACATGTAAATTCTTCTACTGTGATCAGTGCATTTGTGAGGAAGCAGACATAAATATGTTTGTTCAAACTGCCATGTGTGACCCTAGATACTGCTTGTGAGTGGCCTGTTGGGTCTGAAAGGAGGGGAAGCTTATAATAGTGACATCCTCTCTTTCTCCCCAACTTACCTAAGGGTCAAGAGCTTGGAAATGAGACTTTTTATTAAATTTTTGATGGAAGGAAAGGAAGGGCAATATTTCACTTGTTCATCCATTTTTTTGAAACATTTTTTGAGCACCAGTAGTATATGCCGAGAACTGCACTAAGCGCTGGGAATAGAAAAACTGAGTTATATTTGGAATCTGCCTTCCAAGAGATTGTAATAAAAGGAAGGTAGGCAAGTAAATTAAAGCTCACAATAGTGTGATAAATGCTATAATAGAGGTATGCATAGGGTGCTTCGGAAGCCCAGAGTGGACCATCCAAATCAGCCCAGGGCAGCAGGAAAAGCTTCTTGGAGGAGGTGGCCATTGTGCTAAATTTTGAAGGATATGAAGTTGATGGAGTTAGGGGGAAGGGCACTCCAAGCAGAGGGAACTGCATGTGTTCAGTTAAGGAGTCTAGAAATAGCACGACATGTCATAGGAACCTCAAGTAGACTGGAATAGCTGCAGCAAGGGTCCATGCTGGAGAGGGGGCTGAGTGAGGGTGTAGCAGTCTCTGAACTACAAATACCCATGTTAGCCCAGGGGGTGATCCTGGCCTTCCAGCAGAGATCCAGAAATTGTATCCAGAAATAATAATATCTGTGTGAATTTGAGCACACTTTAAAAAATCTCAATTGTAAAATGAGGGTAACAAGCAGATTATATAGAGATGAGATGCGTAAAATGTTGATCAATGGTAGGAATGTAAAATACTTTAGTTTTGTCACGACAAGCCTGTCTTGAATCCTTCCTCTACTCCTTAAAAACAAACAAACAAAAAACCAAACCCTATGCTGTTGAGTAGATTCTGACTCATAGTGACCCTATAGCAACCCAATAGGACAGAGCAGAACTGCCCCATAGGGTTTCCAAGGAACAGCTGGTGGATTTGAACTGCCGACCTTCTGGTTAGCAGCCGAGCTCTTAACCACTGCTCCACCAGGGCTCCCCGCTACTCCTTAGTCATCTAATAATTATATAACAGATTCGGGAAAAGCTTAACTATCAGGAAAATCTTTTTCTTCCTTCCATTTCTGCCATGCAAGGATTATTTGAGCATCTTTTTTAACTGAATATTTTATTTAATCAGCAGGTTATGAGTCCTCGGGGGCCTGAAGTAGCTTCCTGTCCAGTTTGGGTGCTGTCATGAAAGGCCCCTGAGTTGGGCCAGGAGAGCTGAATTGTAGTCTCTCCTCCACTGCTGACATATATGGGGCCTTGGACAAAGCCCTTCCCTTGTGTGGGCTTCGATTCATTCACTAGGCAAATGAGAGAAATTAAACTAGATCGTCTTTAAGATTTGTTCCAGCTTGGAAATTTCATGCAGGGAGCTTTTAGCTGTACTGAAATTAGTATAAAGAAAGAGCTAGGACTTTCGGATTTTGATTTTATATCATACCTAAGAGGGAAAGGCAATTCTTTCACATGCTGGCAAGCAAGCACAAGTGAGATTCTTCATCTCTCCTTACCTCTCCCACCCTCATTTCAGCTCCCAATTCTGATTTGCTCACCCAGTCCCCTTTGGGGATTATATATTTCATATATATATTTCATATATATATTTCATATACATATTTCAAGTGTATCCTTCTGATCCTGTTAAGCACTGTTGGAAAAGTTGGGAGAGCAGGACACTGAAAAGCCAACTGTTGTGAAAACACATCATCATCATCTGTAGATGCTTTTGGAAGCAAGAGGCTCACTATTTTAATCCCTCCAAGTGACTGGATCAGTAAACCACAACCCTCTGGATGGTACTGTCTGTTAAGAAGGTTTGAGTAAATGGTGAGCGTGGGGAATGGTATTTCCTGTTCCTGTCAGGGTTTCTCTAACTCCTTGATTTGAAAGAAGTGCTTTTGAATTCTGTTTGAACAGGCCCTTTAAGGCTTAGAAGATCAGTAACCTGGGTAGTCAGGCTGGGCTGGGATTAATGGATAGGTGAAAAGCATATGAAGAATTTGATTGATAGCTTTAGGCTACCCTTGCTCCATTGAACAAGACTTCTTGAGATAAAACGAACCTTCCTCAAAGCTTCAGATTTCAGTATTAATAATATTAAACTATCTGCTGACTGGAGGCAAAATGCAAATATCAGCCCTCTTAGCAATCCACAGGATACAGCAGTTTGTTTTCTGTCATTGGGTGAAAGCTGATTGTAGAAGAATGCTTACAACGTGCAATCTTTGTATGATTTCAAAAGAACATGCATACATTTCTACACTGTCTTTGCACTTTTCTTGTTCCAACTGAACATTCTGTCCCAAAATGATCAGAATGCTCTCTGTGTCAGTAACAGGCATCTGGCTCCGTCTGTGTTTTATCATATCTTTCCTCCTACACATCTGAAAGCTCTTTGGGCATTTATTTTTGTTTTTTGACCAGCATTTGACATTGGAATCCCTCTTTATCCCAGCCCTCTGGTCATTCCAATAATTTCATTATTTTGACAGCAGTTTTTGAGGACCTACTGTGTCCTAGGCCCTGGCAAATATAGTGATGCTATTTTATAATGTGATTTAAAAAATTCTTACCTTGAGGTTTCAACCAAGTTTTACTTCTTTTTATTTATCTCTGTTTCTCTTCTTGCTTCTTTTTTCTCTCTCTCCCTCCTCTTCTCCCTTACTGCTGTTTCACCTCTCTTCCCCTGTGGTTTCCTACTCTTGAGGGAGGGGCAGGATTTCCTGCTTAGAAGTTGGTTTCTGGGAGGAGTCAGAAGACCTGATTTGGGACTGAAACCAGCTGGCCTGCCACCTGATACAAGAAGGTGAAACCCAGGCCAAGAAGAGGGTCCTTCTGCTGGGATAGAGCCTGTAGCCAGCAACCAGGAGGCACCTGCTGAGAGAACCCCAGTCCCGGACATCAGGCATCGGGGTCCCCCAAAGGACAGAGGAACCTGTGAGGCAGGCCAGGACAGGAATGCTTCAAAGTGGTCCTGGTTGCCCTGAAGACTTACCCATTACTATCTCGCTCTCAACTTGGGAGAGGCACACCAGGCAGAGAGCCCCTTTCCCTCCTTTAGCAATTGTTCATTCTTGGATTTCTGGCTTTTCCTCAAAGGAAGGTACTGAAACAAGAACTGGGTTTGGCAGATTTTCCCTCCCCACCAGGAGTGACTGTAGTGATCCAGTGCATTCTGTGAAGCCTACATGTCTACATTTCTTGAATTATAAACTCCTTAAGAAATCGCCTATGTGACTTACAAACCACTATGATGATGGCATTAGCAGTTGGGTGGAGTGGAGGGTAGAGGGAAGGAAGGAGTCTGCCAAGGGACCCATATGGGGTGGGGGTTCCATAAGTAGGGACAATAATTCCACCCTGATTCACACCAGCTAATGATGGAGGGCCACATCCCAATTCAGAGGTGTGCGGTCTTCTCCCTCATCTTGGTAAGGTGTGGCTGACAGTGTACCAAGAAAAAATTCAATTTATTCATCATATTTAATGAGCACCTGCTTTGTGGAGGCACTTAACTAGGAGCTGGGATACTGTGGTAAGCCAAACTCGATACAGCCTGTGCCCTAATGGAGAGCATGATTTATATGGTTGCACATTGCTACTTTTGGCAGTTGGGGTCACAAGTTTAGAGGAAAGACAGGGAATTGTTAGGTGTGAATTCTTCCTTGGAGCAGCATAATCGGGTAGGTTTTAGATAGTTATCTTTCTGTTTCTTAGCCAATATGGGGTGTTGATTCTTTCAATGACCCTTCTGCTTGCAGTATGTATAAGTATCACTATCTGTAGGCTTCCAGTTCTTATGGCTGTAAGACATTTTGGTCTTGTTTTTATTTCAGGAGCCACTTGTTTTACCTATAGGATCATAAGTTGTATTGATTTCAAGCTTATTTACTTTCTAAGGCTCTGAACATGTCTTGCCACATATTGGATATTTTCTAAATGGTCAGTTTCACATGTCAATTAATTTTTTTCTCATTAAACCCCCTAATTTGGATTTAAGCCCACTTTAAAACAAAACAAAACAAAACAAAACAAACACAAGACTACCTTTACTGTAGCTATGGGGTCTACCCTAGAATATTGCTTGAAGGTTTCCTAAAGTCTATTTTCATTTTTATTTTGTTTATAATTTTGGATCTTTGTCCGATCAACCTTCAAAGGAAAGCCTCCTGCCTTTTACTGTGTTTCCTATCTTTTATTGCTTTATTCAGGCTTTTTTTTTTTTTTTTTTTCCCAGTTTGCATAGCTGAGTTATTTAAATTTTACCTTCCTTACCCTGCTGCTTTTAAATTTTTTTTTTTTCCCAACTGAAGGGCTAATAATGAACTAAAGTACTTGGTGCTAACAATTAACTGACGTACTTGGTACAGACCTGTAGTCCATAACAATACGTGTCTAATAAAATCGTGAATTCTCTAGCAAATTTCCACCTGGCTTCCCAAGGTTTAGAAAAATACTTAATTATAACTCTCACTTTGGCTTCAGACCAGGCTTTTAATTCAACTTCTTTAGGGCTGCTTTCTGGTCTAGCAATTTTTCAACACCGTTGCTGTTTTCCTGAGAAAGCTCTGCAGAAAGGGTGGCTCGTGTCAAAGGTCTGGTAATACTGAGTGGAAAGAGAGAGAAATGAAGGGACGGTGAGTTTCAGAAAGTATCTGAGTCTTTGAGAGAGATCATCCTGAATTAGAATTTTGTTTGGAGGCCTCAGCATATCAGTTAAAGAAGGTAGCTCTTGACTCTTTGGGATTTGTCCCCTAATTTTTCTGGGGCTCGTCTTAAGTGTATTAACTTAGTGATTTTTGACATGTCAAAAGTCCTCTATGATGGCCATTATTATTCTGACTTAAAATTTTTGCTCTTTATCAGAGAAGGTGCAAGAGTTAAGATTACGGTGCAGAAGTTCTTCCAGAGGAGGTTGCAGTTTGATATAGAAGAACTTGAGAAAGACAAGAGAAGGCACTTAGTTAAGACTACGTGCCTGCGAATGGTATTTCGGATTTCCTTTCTAAGTGAAAGTTAGAAAAGGGCCAAGAATCAGTGACCTGACAATCCTTGACCCCAGAATTTGGACTAAAAGTGACCTTTCACAAATTGACAAGACAGAGAGTGTTCTCATGAAAGTTCTGTGGGGAACCCAAAGCTAAATTTGACCAATGGCCTTTTCATGGGTTAGTAGCCAGTTCAATCGACCTGCAACTGCTATCTCTTAGGACCAGCTTGGATTGGACTAGAGGCTTAATGGGTCTATATCACTATCCCTTTGCTGTTGAACACTCCCTTATACATATATTAGAAACAAGACAATCCAGAATAAAACAAAACACATAAAAAGAGACTTTATAACATAGATAAAAGCAAAAGTGAGCAACAAGGGAATAAGCAGTTTAATGGCAAAGATATTCAACAAATGGTATACCTCCAAAACCAAAAGTCTAAACAACTTATACAAAGACCGATGTCTAATTAGCTAATAGTGTACCTCCCAAACAGAATGTCTGGTGACCTTATGCAGGACCTAGTGCTCCTTAGAAGCGAGGATGGCAAGACTTTGACTCTCTTCCTTTGGACATGTCATTAGGAAAGACCAATCACTAGAAAAGGACATCATGTTTGGTAAATTAAGGGTCAGAAAAAACGAGAGAAACCTTCAGTGAGATGGACTGATGAAATAGCTGTAATAATGGCCTCAAACATACCAAGAATCACGAAGATGACACGGGGCCGGGCAATGTTTTGTTCTGTTATACAGAAGGTCGCCATGAGTCAGAGGGAACTTGACAGCAAATAACAACAACAGGTCTAATTATTTCCCTGAATATGTATCTGTAAACCAAAATTTCTAATTATGCAATGACCAAGGTCTAACGATCTTTAACAAAAGTCTACTTGTTTACAAATTATAGGAGCAATGAGAACACAGTGAAACTAGTCAGAACTCAGACCACTGTGAGGCTGACTCACCTGGTTTGGCTGCAAGAAGCCTAGTGAGTACCGATCAGTCTAAGGGTTCCCAGGAATTGTTGTTGTTGTTAGGTGCTGTCTGGAAGAGGCTGCACAGGCCTGGCTCACTATTATTTACTCCCCATTGCTAACCGCCACATTGTCTCAGGATCTTGTTTCTCCAGTCTCTACAAAAAGGTTTAAGATTAACCGATGTTCCTCCCTGGAGGGTGGAAAACAAGTGATAATGATCTAAGAATGAAAAACCAAACAAAGCACCCATCTTGTGACAAGAAAAAGCAGGATGTCGGGCCAGATAATCCCCAAGGATGTCACCAGATAACCTCTAAGAGTACCAGTAGAAGGTGAACTCATCTAAGACATCATCACCTCAAGGGGAAACTACCACAAAAGATCCATAATCCTGTCCCTATAAAAGACTTCAGCTGATCGGGTTTTTTGGAGGAATCTATTCCCCTCTGTCTCCTATATATCGATATATAATAAACATCTTGTTGCTCACCTCACCCCTGTCTCAGAATTGGCTATTGCGGCAGGTGGTCCCAATCTACATTATTGCGGTAACACTGTCCTGTCGGTTCTGACTCATGGTGACCCTATGTACAACAGAACGAAACACTGCCCAGTCCTGCACCATCCTCACAATCGTTGCTATGTTTGAGCCCGCTGTTGAGCCCATTGTTGCAGCCACTGTGTCAAACCATCTCGTTGAGGGTCTTCCTCTTTTTCGCTGACCCTCTGCTTTACCAAGCACGATGTCCTTCTCCAGGGACTGGTTCCTCCTGATAACATATCCAAAGTACATGAGATGAAGTCTCCCCATCCTCACTTCTAAGGAGCATTCTGGCTGTACTTCTTCCAAGACATGTTTTGGTTCTTCTGGCAGTCAATGGTATATTCAGTATTCTTCACCAACACCATAATTCAAAGCCATTAATTCTTCTTCAGTCTTCCTTATTCATTGTCCAGCATGCATATGAGGCGATTGAAAATGCCATGGCTTGGGTCAGGTGCACCTTAGTCCTCAAAGTGACATCTTTGCTTTTTAACACTTTAAAAGGTTTTTCTTTTTTTTCAGAAGATTTGCTCAATGTAATACATCATTTGATTGCATGCTGCTTCCATGGGGGTTGATTGTGGATCCAAGTAAAATGAAATCCTTGACAACTTCAGTATTTTCTCCATTCATCATGATGTTGCTTATTGGTCCAGTTGTGAGCATTTTTGTTTTCTCTATGTTGAGGTGTAATCCATACTGAAGGCTGTAGTCTTTTTTGTGTGTGATTTAGGTAAAGGTTTACAGAGCAAATTAGTTTCTCATTAAACAATTAATACACATATTGTTTTGTGACATTGGTTGCCAACCCTGTAACATGTCAACACTCTCCCCTTCTCGACCTTGGGTTCCCCATTTCCATTCGTCCAGCTTTCCTGTCCCCTCCTGCCTTCTCATCCTTGCCCCTGGGCTGGTGTTCCCATTTAGTCTCATATACATGGTTGAACTATATGTATTATTGTTTGTTTCACAGGCCTGTCTAATCTTTGGCTGAAGGGTGGACCTCATGAATGACTTCAGTACTGAGTTAAAAGGGTGGCCAGGGGCCATACTCTTCGGGTTTCTCCAGTCTCCGTCAGACCAGTAAGTGCTTCAAGTCGTCTTCACTTTCAGCAAGCAAAGTCATGTTATCTGCCTATCACAGGTTGTTAGTGAGTCTTCCTCCAATCCTGATGGCCCATTCTTTTTCATATAGTCCAGCTTCTTGGATTATTTGCTCAGCATACAGATTGAGTAAGTATGATGAAAGGATACAACCCTGACGCACATCCTTCCTGATTTTAAACCATGCAGTTTCCCCTTCTTCTATTTAAATGACTGCCTCTTTTTCTATGTATAGGTTCTGCATGAACACAATCAAATGTTCTGGAATGCCTATTCTTTGCAATGTTATCCATAATTCAATACGGCCAATACCAGTCCATTTCAGCTCACTAATGCCTAGTATATCGATCTTTATGCGTACCATTTCATTTTTGATGACTTCCAATTTTCCTAGATTCATTCCTGGAATGCTGCCAAACAAAGGTCTTTAAAACAATTTCAGTAGACCCTCCAGAATTATCAAAGGATGATGAGACCACCACTTAATATCTTAAATAAAAAGAAAAAGATTAATTTATTGCTTATTATAATAAGGGTAAACTACGCTGCTCAATCTCTCTGAACAGAGCAAACTGCAGATTTTATATAGGGTTTTTTGGAAGTGTGAAGTTCACGGAATGGTGTGCTTTCCCAGGAGTAAGTGGGTTGACATCATCCATAGAAGCATAATTATTTGTTGATTGGTTGGTGCTCCGAGATGTATTTAATGGAGTGGGTCCAATTCTGACTGGCTGACTCTCAGAAGTGAGGGGCTATTACTGATTGATTGACTTATATGTTATGTTAACTAGGGCAACTTGTTTTTGATTGAACCAATGAGTTTAGAACTGGTTTTGATGGCTACTTGTTGGCATGGCTATGGGACAATTAATTTTTTGCTAGGAATGTGGGAACTTTTTTTATATTCTCATCCTGTTGCCTGCTATTTGTCTTCACTAGAACATACTGCAACATGGTATCTGATATACCACAAAATTATATACTTATATTAATAGATTAACATGTTGCAGTGTTTTGTAAAGTGCAACGTGACTAATAGGTGTTCTATTATGACAAAGTTTGAGAACCATTAAGTTCAACCACTAGCTTAAGGTATTTTCTGAGAGGCAAAAGCATTAGTTAAATAAACATCATCAGGAAATAGTTTATTTTATTGTGCTTTAGGTGAAAGTTTACAGCTCAAGTGAGTTTCTCATTCAAAAATTTATACACATATTGTTTTGTGACACTGGTTGCAATCCCCACAATGTGACAGCACACTCCCCCTTTCTACCCAGGGTTCCCTGTGTCCATTCGATCAGTTCCCGTCCCTTCCTGCCTTCTCATCCTGCTTTTGGACAGGAGCTGCCCATTGGTCTTGTATTTCTGATTGAACTAAGAAGCACATTCCTTACATGTATTACTTTTTTGTTTTGTAGTCCTGTCTAATCTTTGTCTGAAGAGTGGGCTTTGGGAATGGTTTCAGTTCTGGGTTAACAGAGCGTCCGGGGGCCATAGTTTCAGGAGTTCCTCCCGTCTCTGTCAGACCATTAAGTCTGATCTTTTTATGTGAATTTGAATTCTTTGCTACATTTTTCTCCTGCTT